AGGAAAAGATAAAGAGAGTAAGAAGGAGAGAAAGTATTTTAGGTCATGAAAGAATTTGAAAGTTGAACAGAGAACATCCTTCCAAGTTTCAACCTCCCGCTTCCGAGCTAATGACTTTCGTATGAAAATTCTTGCGTAGTCGTACACAAGTTCTCGGCATACTTGGGAACTAAATTTGTGAGTTGCCTGCATAGACAGAAAACATCTTCCTCAAAAATTTCAGCCTCACAGCTCTTCTGGTTCCGGCGATAATAATTTTTGGCACCAAAATTTTCGCAAGGCCGCACATGAGACTCAATTCAATTCTGCGAGGTCGCCTTTGGCGTTGTATCTTTTCCGGTAGCCCATTTTGTTACACAAATTAGGCCGATTTGCATCACTGTGTGCGTTTCCATTTCGATCATTTCTTCGTAAGTAGGAGCAAATCGAACAAGGCGCTAATGTGTGTGTGTATGTGTATGTGTGTGCGTGTGTGTGTGCGTGTGTGTGTGTGTATGTGTGTGTGTGTATGTGTGTGTGTGTATGTGTGTGTATGTGTGTGTGTGTATATGTATACTGGACTCTATATGCGATGCTTCAACATCTCTACGACTCGATTTCACAAAACGGAGCATCAGAGTTCCCGTATTTCTTTCCACAACGTATAAAGTTCCAGCCGGACCAACAGTAATTCGTCCTAGTTTTCCGCATGCATTTGGAGCTTTCGAGCATTTTTAGCCATCATTTCTGGATAGTGTGCTTCCCGATTTCTTCCACAAATCTTGGAACAGCCTGTCTATTTTTGGAGAGATCTCTCATCCTCCACTTGTAAAACTTCAATATATTATGCGTTTGCACACACATCTTGCGCTCATAATACTCGGCAGAAGGTTCTTCGTAAAAAAGGCGAAGTTTTTGCTGGCATCATAGCAAAGAGACAGTGCTCTCTTCTTATTGTCTCGATCACTACCGTCTTTTCATGTAAAAGAGTGAAGATGACGATTAGAGGGAGCAAGGGAAGTAAAGGGGAGTGAAGGGGAAAGAACGGTGCAGATCGAATGTAAAATAGGTTTAGCTATACATAATTGGCCAACGCACGGGTTGCCCATGCGAAGATGCTTTTTTTGCATAGTTCCCCGCAGTTTTTGTCGCCACCGGCATCGGTTTTTCCGGCAAATGCTTCTAGCTAAAAAAATTAAGATTGGCCATCAGAACTGTTAGGAAACACCCCCTTAAAATTTCAGCTTTCTAGCTTTCCAGGTCCTTGAGTTAGCAACGTGCCCGAAAAAATTTGGCGGGCTCTTATGTAGTTACCACGCGTACCCGGAGTCTGTGTTTGAACTCATTGAGACTTAGGTGAACGGGGAATATCCTCTAAAAATTATAGTCCTTTAGCCTTTCAAATTCCCGAGTTATAAACTAGCCAGAAAAAAATTTGGCGGGCCCGTACGCCGGTACCATGTGGGTAGTGGCGCTCATTCTGGGGATTGGGGCCA